ATGGATTAATAGATGAATGGATGGATGTGTGGATGGATTGATGTGTGGATGGACGGACGGATGGACGGATGGACGGATGGATGGATGGATGAATGGATGAATGGATTAATGGATGGGCAGATGGATGAATAGACAGATGGATGGATGGATGGATGGAGAAACAGACTAAGAAGCTGACTTCTCTTCTCACTCTACATGGAGAAGAGAATTCTATGCACCAGCCAGTCAGCTGCATCTGTGCCAGGCCTATGGTTCACCTTTCTCCCCATGTCAAGATACATTTGTAGAATTGTAGGAAAACCAAACTACTTTCCTAATGCTGTCCAGCTCCACATTACCCACCACCTTTCTGAGATGAGCTAGGACAGATAGAGACAGGAAAAGCATTCTGCAAAAAAAGGTGAAGAGAGAGGGAACAGGAGTATACCTTTCCCATGCCACACCTTCCCAGCCCCAGAGCTGAAGCACTGACACAAGCCAGCCCCCTCACACCCAGAAAGCAAGTTAATCTCCTTGCTCCGCAGACTGCAGATCCCAAGCATCACCCGGAATGCTCACTGCACATGCAGATTCAAAGCGCACCTCTGGGATGCAGGGTCAGGAGGTCTAGAATGGCACCCCAGGTAATTCTGATGCAGATGGCTGGTGACCTACATTTTTAGAATCTCTGGTATGCAGCCAAAATGCAAATACAGCCCAAGCAACCCCCCACATTACAAGATGTGTCCATATTCTCCCTCCCACAGATTTGATGATAAAATGATTAAGCCCAGAACTGCATTAATGATATTCACAGTCCAGAGTTGAAAATCAGACCACTGTGTGGAAGCTCTGTTACTGACCCAGAGCTTCGGGCTTCCTATCAAGGGAACCAGTCAAATTTCTTGTCCACTGTTTACTTGCCACATTGCCTTTGGCCTCTGGCTCACTCACTGGTAACAACTTTTGCGCCATCAGGCTGTTCAGAGTCAAGAGATGCGTGTGAAAGTTCTGAGATCACTGAAAGTTACAATGCATGTGCTCAAGATTGCCGTGGTCATCCTACACCCAGTTTGATGAACTCTTTCACAAACTGAAGTTTGCAAATATTACAAGTTTCCATAATAAGGGAGCAAGCTGGTATTAAACACTAAGGTGTGGCTCAAGATTTAAGAGACAGGCTTGTAATTCTCACCAGCATAAGACAACTCACTTGTTGACTTACTCAAACACTCCCTATCAGTGGCTTTTTCTTCCCCGACTAGGGAGAAATATTAATGTGTCAACCTCTGTCAACCATGTCTTGACATAATAACCTTTTCTCTGATCTAGCACAGAAAGAGCCTGCTTTATCCACAGGAAATGCCTATTTAAAGAAAGGAGGGGGCCGCCTTGCTGAGGTTGGTGACTGAATCATGGAAGAGAGTGGGCAAAATTGTGGCCTTACATGCTCTCTTATCTTTTAATTCAACCACCAAGTTCAGCAATGTGATGAGTGAAGAGCCTCGGACTCTGAGCAAATGGCAGCTGGTATCAGGAAACACGTCGTTCATTCTTTCGCTTCCTGTTTGCTGTGAACACTCTACAAGAAGTCTCGTCTCCCTGAGAGCTCCACACCTAGGAAAGACTTAAGTTTAAACCTCCCTCCAGTCCAGTGGAGGCCCAGCGTAGCATATGAGTCATGAGGAGGCATGATTCAGTAATGGAGCTATACAGATGAACCTTTCTTATTTCGATAATAATTTTTAATTGATCGTATATTACATATATGTATACACACATGTATATATTTATATATATCATAGATATTTTTGTTTAGTATGAGGCTAATTTTTTAAAATAAGAACATCTGCTATAGATTGAAAAAAATAACAATAGCCAGATGCTGATAAATCAAAAATGGTGGCAGTGAACAGAAAATGCAGAATCCTGGAAGGATCTTTTCCATAATCCAATCCCTTCATCATTCAGATGAGACACTCAGGACAAAGAGCTACGAATGGGCACTCAGAACATGAAACCCCCGCTCTTTTGAGTCATGTCCTCCCTTTCTGCCACGTCTCATCTCCAATGTGGAATGATCTTTCTGGGGACGGTACAAACGAGGTCTCATATGAAATAAATATATTTTCAGAAAGCCCACAGCTAGGCACTGATCTCTGCCTCATACCTTGTGGAGGGCGTGGGTGTGCATGATTCAAGGTGAACAGCAGGTTTGCTGGGGAGGATGGGTATGCTATAACTGAGCAACCCACAAATAATGACTAAGGCAGTTATCTCCAAGTTCAACACCACCTGCCTTCTGCCCCGTGCTCCTTCTCGCCACTGTGGGCTGGTCAGGGCCACACTCCTGACCTTACTGTGTGCTTTAATCTCAGCCTCCAGATTGTCCTTTCCCCATCTGTGAAGAAAAGGAAAATAGTATTTCCCAGATACTCTCAAGGGAAAGTGCAGAGTTTTAAATGGGTTATAGAATTTCTTAAAATCAATGTATTAACACAAGATGTCACCACAAACATGCACAAAGCATGCTCCTATACCAGCTAGAGAGGACACAGGAGATCTCTGAATCAGTAAAATAAATGATAATAATTGCTCACTCTCCTGTCCTCTGTCCTGTGTGCTCTGGGTCAGGGACTGCCCTACGTGTCTTAGGCACTTTAAATTACATCTCACATCAACAACAGCTCTATAATGTAGGCATGATTTTTATCTCAGTTTTACAGATGAGAAAACTGAGGCTCAGAGAGGTTAATTAACTTTCCCAAAGTCACACAGTGAGTGGGTGAGCTGGGATGGAAACCCAGGATATCTGGTGTCCAAGTCTTTGTGGACAGTAACACCTGATGAGGCTGAATTGGAAGATGGGACCTTAGAGATTTTTTTAGTCCAGTAGCCCCTGATCCTGGCTGCCAATTAGAATAATTAGGGAACTTTTTAAAAAAATTGCAACTCTCCAGCTCCTCAAAGACCAGTTGAATTAGAACCTCTGGGGAGGGCTTGAACATCAGCCTGTGTGTTAAGGCTATTCCAGCGACTCTGACCCACAGCCAGGACAGAGAACTTCTGCTCTATTCTTCCTCCAGGCAAAAGAAAACTGACCCCAGGAAGTCAGTGACTCGCTCAAAATGTCAGAGCAAAAATGCATGACTGCCACTCCAGCCACCCTTCTCTGCCCCTGAAATTGCTACTTCCCACAAAAATGAGATTATAACCAGGAATTAATATGCTCTACAAGGTGCTCCTGTGCCCTAGAAATATTCCTTAATTTTAACTATTTTGCAACCTCTACATAAATAAGTACACAAGTAAAACAACCCAGAGGGCCAGAGATGACATTTACGGTGCTGATTTCAAGACGGGGACAGGAGGGGCTTTCACGTTCTAGTTTTACACATATCTGCAGTGCTCGAGGTTTGTGTGACTTCTGTAATTGAGAAAAATTGATTTTCTAAAAAACAGATCTGAAGATGAGCATCAGCCCTCTCAATATGCTGTTCTTTAAAGACGCCTTTTGAACTATAAACCAATAAGTACTTCCTACAACTTTTTGGCTTGCCATAGTCATTCTTCTTTCAATGACTTAGAGAGAACATTCCATAAATGGTAACAAATTCCTTGCGTTTTTAGGAAGTGGGTGGCAGGACCTGAACAAGCCTGCATGGGCTCAGCCTCATTAAGTCACAGCTCCCTGCAAACTTTGCACTGTTCCTCAGCTTCTGGTCACCTGCTCCCCAACCAGCTCTGCCAGCCAGGGCTGTAATGAATTTTTAGGAAGTGGGTGGCAGGACCTGAACAAGCCTGCATGGGCTCAGCCTCATTAAGTCACGGCTCCCTGCAAACTTTGCACTGTTCCTCAGCTTCTGGTCACCTGCTCCCCAACCAGCTCTGCCAGCCAGGGCTGTAATGAAGTCTTCAGCTAATAAAACTTGCATAAAACATACAATATGCAGCCAGCCACCAGCTGCTCTGGATCCTGATGAATAATTTAGAAACAAATTACCCTTTCCAAATGAGTCCAATAACGTAAGATGCATGGCAACACACCCCCTGAGCTATCCTCCTCCAGCCACCGTGCCTCCAGCTGCCATAGTTAGGGCACTAGTCCCAGTCTAAGAAGAATTCAGCTGAATCAAACCTGATCAAGGGAAACTAAGTGCTCCTTTCTTTGCCCTTGACATACAAAAGAAAAAATTTGCAGGCAAGATAATCTCTAAAATCCATCTCTATAGGGTACCATCAATCAGTCCAAAGCTCTTTGCTGCATTATTACCTTATTAAGATGTGTGGTTTAAACAACCCATTCTATCCCATTTGGTGCTAATGGAATTTTTTAATCATCTCTTCCAAAGCCCAGACCATACTTTATCATATTTAAATAGCTTAAAAGCAAACTGGGTTGGCTCCTTGGAGAAACAGTTGATTCCAGGCTGGGACAGAGGAAGTGCCAAGTGAGTCTAGAATGCCTTATTGGGCCAAGTGCTCAGAAACTGATAGGGACATGTCAAAAAAAATCAGAGCCGGCTTGAAGGGAGTCCTAGTGGCCAAATCTGGAGCAAGCTGAACATCAAAAGGAATAACGACGGGAATGGATTATAAGGAATTGAACAAAAATGAGTCCATACAAAAACGCTGAAAAATAAAAATAAGAAAAGGAAGGATGGAGAGGGAAGCCTCTTCTCTACAGAAGAATGCCAGCTACTACGGGCCGGCCCGGTGGCGCACTGGATAGTGCGCCTCGCGGCGGCGCTCCCGTCCGAGGGTTCGGATCCCACATACAGACCGGCTCCCGCTCACTG